CGGTAAATTTAGGGGGAGGGCTACCATTTTTTGGACCCCCTTTTGGGGAGGGCCAAATTTTTTTGTGCCCATCTAGAAGGGAGGGCCACAAATATTTGGACACCTATTTCAGTAAAAACAGTTATATTTCAATGACCAATTCAATGGGCCCGTACACTGATAATGAATGAAGGCTTCCATGCAAAGATAAAACGAAATTTATTTCACCAATATCAGAACAATTTCTTTCACCAACGATAATAAATCATATTTTATACATGTAATGTCAAGTATGACAACTAGTTGATACTCATATATTTCCTCACTTTCCGACCCTGTAAAGTTCATTGCTAATTTCAGGAATATGGTGTACATTGTTTCATGTCAATAATATACGGTACAATAAAATCTAACAAACGGAAATCTTACAAATATATGGTCTGTAGTATAAAAACAAATACGTGATCAGTCTGAGTCAGATATTGGTTGACAGTAAGGTATACATCCAGAGGTTTCCCAGTATGGACCAACATCGTACGAACTATTGCTGTCATCATCAGCAATTTCCTTTTCAAACCCAATCAAATTGCCACAAGCATGGCCACGTTCCCTAACAACACTTCCAACATCACTTCCAGCATCACGGCATGTAGTAAAAGAAGGAACACCGGAATGGCGGAATACCGGAATGGCGGAATACCGGAATGGCGGAATACCGGAATGCCGGAATACCGGAACATCGTTTTCATTTTGACGGAAAGTTAAAAGGAAGTATTTTAAATCCGATCTGTAAAAGGAATTTAAATATATCCTTCTTTTACTACATGCCTTTATAAAGGCTATAAACAGGCAAAAATTACAGGAACCACTGAGTATTTTAAGTATTTTAATAAAATATAAAACAACGGTAACTCTGAAAATAAACATTTATTTCGGAGTCGGTTTTGAGGATATTTCCTTAAACTAAGGAATTTTACAAGATCTAAGGAATTCTTTATTCTTGGCTTCTGATTCTTGGCAATGGGATTATGGGAACTGAGAAGCAAGCATGGCGGAGGGCTACAGCTGGTAAGTATTGTTTATATGCAAATAATAACTTGAATAATCCTGACATACTATTTGCCATACGATTTGACAATGTTTTTATTTCCACCAGGGACATTCCTTTAGTTGTTGTTTCAAGGTTAGTTTTGTTCGTTTGCTACCTTTTCAGTCGCATATTCGCATTTCTGCCATGCATGCAAATTCGTATTTCTGCCATATATATGCAAATTTGTATTTCCGCTATGCCCAAAAAGTAAAATAACCTATACATATTCATTTTGGATTTACTTTAGTAATGATTCCAGTTCTGACAGTGACAGTGATCGTAGTGTCAGTATATTAAAATCGTAAGTGAATAAATATAAATGCGACAAAATATTACAGTAACATGCGTATATTATAAATGTTAATAAGGTATTGAGAGGATAAATGTACTGAAAATTTTGCATTCAATATCTTTACCTTGATTGTTTTTATTGTATAGACAATTATTTACAGATGAAGAAAACATCGAAGACATAACTAAAACCTTGTAAGCACTGGGCCATTCCATTTAATGTACACACACCCCTATGGACGAGGTCAATAAAATTTGAGCCCCTAAGAAAAAAAGATCAAAGTGCCGACACAAATTAAGAATTAAGAAATTTTTGCCTTACCCCACAGAAAAAACGAAAAGATCAAAGGATCAGAAATTCTCGTCCATAGGGGTGTGTGTATATTAAATGGAATGGCCCACTTTCTAGTCTCTAGTAGTACTATATAATTGTCGCACTTGTTTTGCTTTTTTATACTATATCAAATTTGAGAGGCTGATTTTTCTGTTTATTTATTTTGTAGAGAAACTCTGAATTCTCCAGTAAAAAAGAAACAGAAAGTATTGGATTTGGATACTGATACACTGTTAGGCTAATATTTCTTGTTATTCACTGAATATATAAATCTATATGTCATCATTAACCCATTGAGCACCAGTGCTCTCCCTTTGACAAGTAAAATCATATGCCATTAAAACATAGTAACATAATAAAGTGTGGGTCAGAAAGTATTGGTCCCCTACCCCCCAACACATTCACACACACCCCTAGTGTCTGCCACTGGCTCAGACATAATCTAAGCATTTAAATAAATATTTATTTATAAATGTTATAATAGGTGTAAGTATATATACATATAATAAATAAGCAGGTATGCTGGAACTGAGGGAGCAATAGGGGTAGCCGACAACCTTTCTGAATATATATCACTTAAAAGTGCCCCCTACAAAAACCTGCCCCTTGCTCTCTTGTCATTACAGCATCCCTGAATATGAGCTTTTCTTGCAAATGTAAAATGCAAAAATGTAAATTTAGTTCCAAATTAGGATTTTTATTTGTCTGCAAATGCTCTAATATTGTAAAAATAAAACATCAACTGTCTGTTATTAAGTGCTTCCCTAATAAAAAACTTTTCTCTTCAGGGAAAAATTAACAGCTGTCATTAACAACAGTATGTTACTTATGATGAATAAAATATTTAAAATATTTTTTAGGTTGTATCTTCATGATGACAAACAATTGCCCATTTTTGCAAAATTACCTGCTCTATATGATATGAGCAAAAACGATAAAGATACATCACTCACAGAAACATTACAGCTTCTCACAGAAGCTCCACCTCATCCATCACGTGTGTGTGGTAAACCGCCAAGATATGTAAAAAACAACTACGCATTTGTTGTTAACACATCGAAGTTGGATCATGTGCGTGATATATTGGCAGATGACTCTGGAAAATGGGTAAACAACGGACAGCACAAGTTTCCAAAAAAAGTTGGTGGAGATTCATCCATTGATGAAGATGTGTGTGATGAATTTTACACCCTTCACAGACATTATTACTACAACAAAGATTCTAGGGATTTCCATCGAACTATAACATTTGTTACAGGTGCGTATGCAATGACTTTTATCCAGGTGGCTTGAACCTGCTGGGGTTTCTCACTCTGGCTATCAGTCCTAAATGACTTGCTGTTAGAGCAAAAAATATTCGAAGTACAGTAGGTCCCACTGGTAAAAAAGTTAGGGATAATAATATAATTTTATATTTCAGTTTATCTTTCCGTAATGCCATACACCAATACCACCTTGGGATAAACTCCCCTGATTTGTGAAATAATATTTTAAACTGAAGTGATATCATGCCTGATACAGTATATGCACATTGTCGAGTCTGCCATCAACAAGAAGATCTTGACGAACATATGTATGATTTTGCAAAGTTTAGTTCCCTTTTGTATTTGTGATAAAGTGTATGCCATAATATCTTCTTTGTACTCATGAACTGAAAAGAGAAGTAAATCATGTGTTTCTTCTTATCTTTTATCTTGCTAGCGATGAGAAACATTTTGAAATCTTCAACCCTTTGTTTTCCAACATGTACGTTGCTTAACTCCTCTGTATCGGAACTAAATTCTGGCACAGGCTAAATATAAACTGGCTGAGTATGCACTATTAAGCTCCTGCGGCTTTTCTGGATTTTCAGACATTGTCGATGCTAGCTGTAATTGCTCTACTTCAGAGATGGATTTTATTATAATTATAAGCTTTTAAATCGCCTTTTTAGACCTTTGTGATGTGAACATCCAGTTTTATTTAACATGTTTCCATGTCTTTACTCAACAGACTTGTTGAACAGTTCATAATTATAGTATAATTAGATGCATAATAATAAGTATGTTATGCAACCGGAAGTGAACTACCATGTTTAGTACTAGGAATTGTGATTATATTCTAGGAGAACGGAAGTGAGACATGTGTACTATTATAATAGTTTTTTGTAATTTTGCAAGTTAGGTGCTGACTCGTACCCTATCGTCAATTATGATTTATATATATCAGTGGACGAAGGTTTGCGTTCCTTGACCTTTCCCATTATGCATCATTATTTTGTTCAATCCTCATTTGAGGGACTGGGTATGGGTCAGAGTTAGGTGTGAATTGTATTGTTGATATTGCAAGAAGAGAATATCTTATATAAAAAGGGTTGCCAAGTGGGAATATTTTATATAAAAGGGGCGTGTACATTAGTCATGTATAAAAAAAATGTACACCTTTCAAATTCAAATTAGCCATAACCTTTTAAATATTCGTTGCTCTGCAGTAAACTGACCCATCTTATGCAGACTTGAATAATGCATTAAACATTTTTCTTTGAGTTGTGTATTTGTTCATACAAATAGAAGTTATCCTAAATTCCCATGTGCAGAAGACCTTGTGTTTTCACGCACCATTAATTCGAGAAATTATACGGCTGTCACATTACTACAATAGATTACAGGGTATGGTTAATTTGAATTCGAAAGAGTGTACATTTTTTGATACGTCCTGAATATACTGTAAATATTAACATTAGCCCAGCATGCCCGCTCAGCTCAACCACTGATCTGTATATAACAGCAAAGTGCAATTTCCTCAATTTTTTTGACCAGAATGAAATGATTAATGCGTGTCTGACAATATAAAACATACCCACATGAGACCACAGCAATCATGTTGATTTCCCAAACTAATAGTAATGTATCGCAAACTAATCCTCCTTGAACCAATTAAATATTTTTTCTCTTGTCACTATACTATAGACCAGCAGTCAGTACGAATGCCTCTCACCATGGTAGAGTACCAGTTTGATAAAAAATCTCATCCTTTTACAATAACATCTCATGGCAATCAGAAAAAAGCTAATACTTGTTCTTCCTACAGAAGAACCCAACCAAGTACGCTTAATAAACTTAAGGCAGAACTTGTTACATCTCATCCAAGGAAAGCGACAGATTCTGTGTCAGAACAAGTTGGAGGCATTATTCACGGCAGAAGTGCAAGTGCGTGGCCAAGAAATGTAACCCAAGCTTACAACCTGAACAATACATCATCTAAAACACCTGTAGTAAGCATAAACCATCGTAGCGATGATCCGTACTTGTCATTGGTAATGTTGTGCAAAGAGCAAGAGAAAGATGGAAAGACAGCTTACGTTAGAAAAGTAATTTGTGCACCTGAACCTATCGTCCTGTTGATGAAAGATGAACAGCTGGACGACATCGCTAAATTTTGTACCAACAAAGCTCACTTTGGTATTTTCCAGGCAGACCCGACATTCAACCTTGGCCTTTTTAGCGT